GTACATTCATGTTCTTTTAACCTCATCCAAATATATTAAAAAACCTGCGCCGCGCTTTTAAGGTCATCCCAGCTCATTCTTATTGCGCAAGTTCATTACGAGGGGAATATGCGGCGCTGGCGGCGGCGACGCTTTCGCCGCTCCATCCCGGCTCACGCCGGCCCCTGCTATTAACCAAACTCTCTCAATATACGGCTCTGCTGTGATGGAACTTCCAGCGCACCACCGGCACAGCGCCGGAGCTTGGGTTGTGCTGTTCGAGGGCCAAACATATCAAACTAGGACGCACACCCTCGCAGTACTCTACTTCTCCACCCCGCAGTTTTATCAGTTTCCAGAGGCCTCCAAGAGGCGCAGCATCTGTCGACGGCCACGCGCTCCGCCGTTCGCATTTCATTCGAACCGATGGTACACAAAAATTGGGCAGCCCTGTGTCGATCTATAGACGCTTTACACACGCGCCAAATTACAGCCGCCATTGCTGACCTTCTCTTGTCTTACCGAGATGCCGAGCAACTGAAACGGTATACTTGACGATCCTCTACAAAGGCGGATGCTTTAGAAAAGGACACAGTTGAATCTAATATGGCAATAAGCTGGCCTGCTATGGTAATGATGAAGTGAAATAAACGAAATAAGAGGAAACAAAAACTGAAGGTCAGTTATGGCGGCGTCCATGCACAGCTGCTGCAAAGCCTCTATAGTACAGTAAGGGCCCGTTCACACATGCAGCGGAGCGCTACAAGCATAGCGCTAACCTCGCGCTAAGCGCGTGCTGACGGCAGCGTTCACCAGCTTTGTATCGCACCGTCAAAACTGTTGCTCATGGCATACGATAAGTAGCTGATGGCACGTGAGGAGCGCTACATCAGCGCTTCGCTGCGTGTGAGAACCGGCCTTAACTGCGATAGCTGCGACACGTCACGGCGAAGTCGTTGGTCATCCGCGTCACGTTCATGGAACGTAGGGTGCCCGAACACCGTACGGAACAAAATGGATATCTGACCATTTTGTTCCTAACGATTTATTTCTATCTTGTTCCGGAGCGCGTGAAAACGTGTCTCCCAGCACGAGCTCTTGGCATTCACATTGCTATACGTAGCTATACTATAACAACTTGTTTCCGTTTTCTTTTTTCAGAGAGCGCGTGCAGTGCGCATTGGCTACTATACTTCGTTCACCCTTAAGCTGAGACTGCAGCCAATGGCACAAGCACGAGAGCACGAGATCGCCGCTTTGAAAGAAGTTATTCCACAATCGAGTACTCGCGCTAGAAATGCACGTCTCAAAGCTACGAGCACGGGTTAGCTCGCGCTTGTAGCTTTGACTGCAGGCTCAGCTTATGGATGAACGCAGTATATAAAAAAAAACCTAAGTATAAAACGGGTTGTTGACGCTGTGGCATAGCTCTGTGGTAACGGCACTCCGCACGCAGCGAACCCAGGTTCGTATCCCTTGGGCGGCGGGTGATCTTTTTCAAGTATTTGTCAACATCCACAACGGACACCCTGCACCCCACTACGCCAACTACAACATCGGCAACAACTACAACTACACTCTAAAAAACGGGGGAGGTAACATGAAAGACAAACCTATTTTGCTCCCTGTCGCCAACGGAAGGCAAGGAACTTGCTCCCGTTCCTCCATTTCACCAATTTACGTGCAACGCCGTCTGGTGGCGTGTGAAAAATAGACGAGATCTCCTCCGTGTTCGCGGCGGCAGCAGCGATAGAACCGTATGAACTGCCCAATGTTTGAAACGACCACGTTTCGTGATATTTTTAAGTTTCCCAAGGGATTAGAGAGGAGTTTCATAAGCGACGGAAATGCCCAGACCTAACATTCTCCGAATAAAAAAAGGAAGTTCAGATGACAAACATTTTAGCGTTCGCGGTTTGCAATGTTCTACAGATACAAAAAGTTTTCAAAATAATTTCTCACCTTGTGGCTTATTCGTAGTCCATTGGAATTCTCCCGAAGTCCGTGTTATTTACGGCAATACTGGGACATTTTGATTAAATCGAACATGTGTTTATAAAAGAGGTTCTATCGATTACATGAATGCCATCTCTGCCCTGTTTTTTTTTTTTTTTTTTGAGCTTGGTGGACGTTAGAATGGAGAATAATCGTCACGTTAATTGCATAATTAACTAAAATTTTTTTCAGTCTTGAATTTTTACAGCCTTGAAAGAGATCAGCGTGAATTCTACGTGTTTAACATAATCCATGAGATTAATAATAAAATTCAAATATCGGTTTCAGTGAATTGATATCCTATGGCTTTTATTAATGCGCTGGGCGCTGGATTAAGATATATAAACTGTTCACTGTTAAAATTTCAAAGAAAGTTTAATTAGGAGTAATATTTGGTCAGCCTACACGTGTTTATGTGCCAAATGTAGCAGTCACCGGCGAAGTGGAAATCGAAAATAAATCTGCCATATATAGCAATCGGATGAACGTAGTATGAGTACATGAAGGGCGGTATTGGTTTGCCCGTCGCTTTACTGTTATTTGTGTGTATGTGGGAGTCTGTATCGTGTGTTCCGGCGTTTCCGTGTGTTTAGAGCATGAATAGCTAGGTAAATAAATTCAAGCGAAACAGTTCGCTGTAAAACTTTTCTCGCAACCTGAAAAAAAAAAAGCGAAAAATGTTTTGTTCACAAATTTTTAAAATCAAAACTCGTTATTCTTACAAATCTTTGTTATTTCTGAAAACAGAAACTGTCTTTGCACTAACTTGAAGAACAATAATCCCGCTCTTTTCTAACAAAAACTCTAATAGAAGACCTGAAACTGTTCTTGTAATAGGCGGGGTAACAGAAATTCGGTGATTTTTTACCGGGAACCGAAAAGATGATTTTTTAACGGGAAATTACACCAACAGAAAGACAAGAAAACAGATAACTTGTGGCAGGAGAGCTGCCAAGAAAATGGCGAGATAAATACCAGCGACACAGTTCGAGACATGTTTGTCCCCTTCTTCGCCCGTCGTCTCCGCTTTTTTTTTCAAATAAGTATACATCAACAAACTCACCAGTTTACCTACTCTTTTTTCAAGCCTTTTTTTCTTTTATTGCAAAATTATTTCTTGCAGTGTATCTTTAATTTCTTGTTACTACAGTATTAAGTTCTCGTTCTGAAAACCATGGCTCCGTGATGGTTTTAACGCGAGGTTTCGCCATTTCGTAAACAGTTAATTTTGAAAGAGATGTATTATATGTTGGTTCTCAAGAAATAAAGAAAGTGACTTACGGGACTTTTACCAATGATGTTTACTGCAGCACTCTAGCATTCACAATGTGCGCAGCGCTGCTTTGTGTCGTTTCTTGCAGCGTGATCTCGCGATGAACGTTACGTGAGATATCAGCGCGACGACCGATATTTAGAAGCGCTTAGCGACCGACAAGTATATCGAGAGCGTTGCCCCGTTTCTTGTCGTGTTGATATGACAAATCCCAAGGTAACAACAATAGCAACGAAGGTCAGAATACTGAGGATAACGGGACTTCCATTCCCACACGAGCCAAAGGGCATGAGGCGATGTCATTGAATCTACGGCAGCTGTCGGGTTTGAGGCTTTTGATGGTATGCCAGCCTGAATGTCACATTGTTCCAAACGCTGCAATCGGGATGTCGGGTAAAGATAAATAATCACCTGTATTTTGTTCAATTGACAGGGATATGTCAAGGATTCGCCCACCCAAGCATAACTCGTGCCGCGTCCGAGTCAATCCGCTTGCCTTATTTGATTAACCAACTGTCAGTTGAATTGTTCTTGATATTTACTACGCTTACCTTACACATATTTCAGGCATATCAACACAACCCTTCAAGTATGTTTTATTTCGCAAGACAACTACGTACTGAAAGAAGTTTAGAATACGTGGTAACGCTTGAAGACAAGGACAAAAGGAGCTGAAGTGGGCAGGACTGTGAGCAGGGTACTGTCCGCCTTTTGGCCTTGTCTTCGAGTGCTAGTGCGCATCCTCAAATTCAACATGAACTCGCCCAACAATCATCACCGAAAGAAGTACTAATATATTTTAGTCAATGGTAATCCAGAAGACACGCTTAAAGGCCGACGTACCAACCTCGGTTTTCTGCAGGGAAAATAATCATTTTGCGCTTTCCTCTCCTAAGCTGCGAAGGGTTGCATGTTGGGGCAAGATGAAAAGTGAAAAGGCGGGTGAAAGTGGAAAATTCGAAGTGTACATTGGCCTTTAATAAAAAACAGGGAGGGAGCCAGATGCAAAGCGAGACTGCAACCATACGAAAACTCGCTCTCACGACATCGAGGCACAAAACACGTGCCAAATTTCTCAGTGTTACGTGGTGTACGCACTTCCATTTTTTACGCGCAGGAAAGACAAAGAAATACATCAAAGTCGCCTTTGTTGTAGGTTTAAAATATTAGTCAGACTAGTGCCGAAATGACGCGAGAGCTCAGAACGTCACCGCCGGGTGTCACATCCGGCAGGATCAACGGTTGAGCTATTCCCACACACACGCTGCGTGAATTTCGGCTCACAACTAGCACCGAAACAACCGAAACTTTTTAGGCACGCAACACATGACTCCATCAACACGTTGACACAATACCGACAACACCATCAACACTAAACATACCGCGATACACGAAACCAACGAAACATGAAACCACGGAATGGCTACCACTGCGACGGCAGCGTTGACGGAGGACGTCGAAATAATAAAGCCGCTTTCTTGGCATTTCACGGATATGACGTCACGGACGTTGAAATACGTTTAAGATATTTTGATGGTGAACGTCGAAATAGGCACTGACATTACTTATGATGTTTACCTTGTAGCATTAAACGTAGTTCTATATATATATATATATATATATATTTTTTTTTTTTTTTATTCCTGGCTTTCTGTTGTTCACTCAGAATTCATCACCCCGAACGTGATATCCATTCCAAAATGCAGGCAGCATACGTTTTTCAAAACAAAACAAAAATTCGACGAAAACTTACCAGTTATCCAAAGTTCCCAAGCGCAAATATCTGAGCGACGCAGAGAGTCCCTTCCGACTGCTTTTGCGTCGCAACTTGGCGACGGATTAACGTGAGAGGGCAGCGAGCCAACCGCCGACCGACGAGGCATTCAGAAGCAAAACAATTTACTCGATGCATCGCCCTCGTTTTTTTTTTCGTTTTTTTTTTTTGTTCCGTTTTGATAAGGACGGTACGTCAGAGGCAACTAGACGTACCGCATTGCTCGCATTGTGATTGAGGATAACAGAAGCGCCATGGCTCCACACACCAAAGGACATACGGCGCTGGTTAAAAACGCGCTCCATCTATCGGCGGCAAAGCCGATAAGTGGATTACTTTTGATAGCATGTCGCGTGTCTCCAAGCTCTGGATACCGGAACGTGTTGAGGACGAAACGAAATACTGACAATGTAGCACACATGAATTCTTTGTCTTTTACATTATTATCCTTGACTTGCTTGCCCGTGCATGTTATTTAATACCGGGTATTTCTAATTTATTCGCTTACTTATAGTGATTACCTGACTGTCCAATGATACGTCATGAAGGGCATGAATTTTGCTTTTATTAGCCCTTTTTTTTTGCTCATCAACACCTTTCCCATGTCCCTTCCACGAGTTAGTGAGAAAATAATGTACCTGTTCTGGAGTGAAATGTTGGAATTTTTTTTGCGGGAGCTCGGATGTCTAATTTAGAGCTTTTTTAGCAACGAATGGTCGTGTTTAACCCAAATTAATGCTCGCCGGGAAACACCGACAGCCTTACTGCCAGCCGAAGCTAACAGTTTCGTTATGTACAGTGCTCAGGGGGGCTATGCTCGGCAAATGTTTAGCTTCTCCTAAAAAAAACGGAAGTGACGGAACTGATCATATCGCGTCTGATTGGTTACAAGTTTAAATGACGAAAGTTCCCTCTTTCGTCATTTGAGCCCCCCTGCTCACGTTATGCGAAGGTGGAGGGATAATATAATGTGATAATGAGGATTGGTGAGAAAGAGCTTTTATTGTTATCCGTGCGAGTTAAGTTTAGTCATTTTTTTCAACCTTACATTTGAAGTACTGGTTTCAGAACTGAATGCAATACCTCATGCTAAGAGCAAATGAGATCAATCAGTCAGCGTCAAAAGCGCACAATCGCGCTGTTTGTCATGTTCCCTTCTATGATTCGAGAACCAATCCTAAACTGAAAAGGCCAATTGACTTGCCCTGACGCAGCTTGATTTGTACCATTAGCTGACACTGATAGTGTCTGCTGAGTTTGTACTTAAGCTGAAACGAAGTACGGCTCTTACTCTCAAAGAACGGCAAATACTGTATTTTTGTTTCGACTGTGGTCCCCGGGCTGTGTATGTTTAGAAGTTGAAATTTCATGCGATGAGAACTATCTAAGTTTCTGACTACTCAAAGTGCTGTGTTTAAATTTATTAAAACAAAAAGACAAAAAAAAAAAAAAGAAACGAGGACGGATTAGCCGTTATTTCGCGTTCTAGATAGTACTTTATTTTCGCCAGACGTGACACATTTCGTGAATGGCAGAGCTTGTTACTGAACATTCATATATATTTATATATGATATATACAGGCTTCTTTGTGTGCTAAGAAAGCAAATACTGCTTTTGTCTCTCTCTGTGTTTCTGTCTTTTGGTGTGTGTTTCTTTTGACTTTTGGTGTGTGTATGGGCTAGGTACCGGGTGCGGGCTATGCACCACTGCGGACTGTCTGAAGAAATATTTGTCAGTCTTGTGTTAATCGAGAGTAACAGAAATGGCTGGGACACTTCGAGGTGAAGTTGTTGGACATCGACGGTCGCGTTTACGCTCAAGGGGGTGCGTGAACAAAAGCGTCCAAAAACAATATAGATAAATATAGAATAGACATATTTGTATTCTATCAATATTAGCATAGAATATATTGATAAATTTAGTATAAAACAGGGTAGATAGTCGCAACGCTCTCCCTGAACAAACGCTCAGCGAGCCGCACTGTGCATGAAAATCATGCAATACAATATAATACAAGACTATGCGGAGCGCAAGTTGGCCTGCTTCTTTCGCGGGCGTTATGTTGACGCCAGAACGCCGAGCTGTGATTGGCTCGATTGGAAGGACATTGGGTGGACCTCAAGGCAGCTAGCATTAAGGTCTACCGACTATCCAATTCCTATCAGAGCCAGTCAGCTCTTCGTTTTCTCATGATCTCACCGCAACTCCTGATCGAAAAGCAGACCAACTTGGGCTTCGCATAGGCCAAGTGTTACCATTGTGTTCCGAAAGCTTCAGTTTCTTTTTTGTTCCGAAGCGCATGAGAGTGCGTCTGCCGGAACCGAGTATTCAAAGTGCTACTGGCGCTACGACGGCATTTTGTAATCGGCTACTCGTTTTTGTTTAACCAGAGAGCTCGTTCAGGGGGCTTGAGGAACTACTGAAACCCTAAGGGTTGTTAGCGTTGAGGCGTAGCTCTGTTCCGACGCCTCCGCTTCGCAAGCAGCAGACCCAGATTCAATTCCCGCGGGCAGCGAGTGATCTTCTTCAAGGATTTGCCGACGACGGATACCCTGAGCCCTATTACGCCAACTAGAACATCAACAAGCCCTATTAAGCAAACTAGAACATAAACTATACATCAACTACAACATCAACAACAGACGTCATTTTTAGTGGTGGGAAGGGCATATAACAGTTATCGCTGTTAAACAGTTTTTTTTGTTTTTTTTTTATCAATCGACATTCGACTTTGTGGGCTAGATACTTGGTGCCGGCGGTAAAACGTCAAATGTTGAATTTCAGGGCTTTTAGGCTTCCAGCACTCACCTGGTTGACGCGTGAACCGAAGACAGCGGTTTGCCGCCGACGTGCGTGCAGCGAAATCTAGGCACTCGGATTCATAGCGCGCCCAGCTTTCCGCGTATATCTCGGCTACCGCGACGGGATCCTATTTCCGAGTTTCGAGTGGCCGTGTATGCGCATTCGCGTCCTTCAGGGTGGAGAAAGATAGAGAGAGAGAGAAAGGTGGTTGAAGCTATACTTTCCACTTGTCGTCCTTCACTTCGTCCGAGTACAGCGCGGCGCAGGTTGTTGTCGACACGTTTTATTTTCTTGAAAATGAAATGAACCGCAGGCTTGCTTAAGAGAGCGAGACAGATAGCGTTGAAGAAAGGAGTAAACAAATACTTTATTCATCTGAGACGGTGCCGTGGCCGTGGAAAGAGGGATTCTGTACAAAAGGGACAGAGAGAAAGATACAGAAAGGGAGAAAGTGTTTTAGGTACAAAGCAAGGCTCGCTGCCAGGGCGTACCTGAAATCTGCCCTTCTGCCATCTTGAGACCGGTTCCGGCACTACGACGAGGAAGCGGAGCGCGGGAAGTTATAATATGATACTGGTTTGGGAAGGAAGGAGAAGTGCCTAAGATCGGAGGACGTAAAAGTTTCGGTTCATCAATTCGTAGAGCCTTGCATATCGGCGGATTACCCGCGAATCATCCGCGCTTATCCGCAAAAACTGGTGGATGCGGATGCAAATGAATCAGATTTGGAGAATTGAGTATCGAATGCGAATGCCTCGGGTGGCGGATGCGGATCGGATACGGATATCTTCGGGTCCAGATCTACATTTTATCTGAGGCGGCACATAAAAGTGTGCGACCGCAGAGTGTAGAGTGAATAAGTGAGTGATACTATGAAGTACATCATCGAATGTATTGCGGGAGCAAAGCACTCCCTCAGGTAAAAGGTGCCAATCGGGGAGAAAATTGTTCTTTCCGTCAAGAAAGATTTGATTCTCGCCGAAGTTCGCTTTAGAACGTTCTATCTCGCCAAAAATACTGTCCCTAGAAAAAGTAAAAAAAAATAAAAAATGTAGGTGCTGCAGTCATCTCGGGAAAGCCTGTTCTTGTTTGGCGGGTAAAGACAGGAAAACGTTCTTTGGGTAATTAAAATCCAAAACGTACAAGCAGAAGAAGCCTCCCAGTGGCTTCTGTGGTAGATCGAGGAGTCTGGATTCGATCCTCTGGAGTGGTGGAACTTGAGCCAGCACGAAGGTCTGCACTTCATTTTTGTAGCGGAGTTCGTGCAGCCACCCCAGTATTAAATGAACCAACTGAGAGAAACTTCTCATTAGCGGGTATTAATTCAAGAGAGGCGAACCAGTTTGAATCCGTCCATGTTGACTGTATTCTGTTTCTTCAACACAGCAACCTCGACAAGTGCAACGTTTCGCGTGTGCGGGCGTTTTTTTTCTCGTCAGTTGGCACCTAGCTGCTTTTAAACATATGATTCCCAGCGTGCATTTGAGGGATCATGTTTAAAACTGAAATCGATCGGAAGTGTTGATAGTATTGAATCTTGTAATATTTCTCCAGTGGTGTATTTACGCCTTAACAAATATACACGAGCATAGCTTGCTGCAGTGAGTGAGTGCCTTTCCTCTCCCACTCATTTATTGTTTGGCCTAAATAAAATCACAAAATGCTATTAGTCTGTCATTTGTTAATTTTTGTTTATAAAATAATTGCCTGCTTGAGGTGGGTTTTGCATACCAAAAAGGAAAATAAATATTAAAATTTCCTTCCTTTCGAGTGCACCTCCTGGACAGAGTGTCAGTGTCACGGAGTTACAAGACGATCTCATAACTGCCATCAGCTTTCCAGCAAAGCGAAGTGTCTCTGGAAGGATTAGAGCTTATTTTAGAAATGCAATAAAACAGAATACTGTAAAATTACTTTCACCGTATTCTTACACGAAGGGTTCGTTGTATAAAGGTAACCAGACGGCCTTTAAAACACCATCTAGATGTGTTTTTTGTTTTTTTTATTCACGCTTGTTTTTATGGTATAAAATGAACGCACGGATTGAGGGTGGGGTGTGAATATGAATTTTGCGCATGTGGTTCAAATTCGGACACAAAGTCTGTGGATGCGGATACAAGTATTTAAGAACATTGCGCATCCGGTTCAAATGCAAATATGAAGTCCTAGAATGCGGATCGGATGCAGATGATCAAACCGTTATCCGCGCAGGGCTCTATCGATTCGATAGCCATTTTCGTAGCCTATTATCATCTGTGACCTTCGAAGTCCAATCATTAAAAGCTTCGAAAATACCGACGACG